GGAAATTACTGCTTCTTTCAAGCAGAAGGATTCAGCAGGGATGGGTTAGTCTACCTTGCTTGTGAGCTTTGAGATCTGTTTGAGCCTTGCCTGGGACTTCTGAAGACACGAGGACCTGAACATTTCCAGCCATGATCTCCCAAGAGGAAGCCCATCACTCACACTGTCCCTGACGATGGTCTCAACACCTCTTAGTGACAACTTTCAAAATGTGGGTATTTCACTTCTAACCTGAACAAAAACCAAACATAAAAATATCAACATCTTTCACAAATCCTGAGTTAACTCTTTCTGCACAGCTTCAACACAGGCAGCCTAGAGCTGAGAACACCCCTGGTATTACAGCCCCAGGCCCTCGTGCACCTGAGGACAGCACCGGCCTCTTCCCAGCCCTGACAAGACCTGGCAGCTCAACATTCACCAGTGAGAGATTTGTGTCACCCATTATAGTAAGTGGGACTCGCAAGGAGGTCCTGGAATTGGATTCCACACTTTCCAGGGTGGCGGATGTATAAATACTGCATGCAGGATCAATAAATGATTACTAGCTCTGTTAACAAGTGCCTAATGTCTTGTTACAGACTTTTACAGAGTCCAGTTGGTCAATAGGTTGCATTTAACCATGACTTATGATCACCTGTATCACATAATAACCATGCCTGTAATATGCTTACACAGTCTATTCATCATGCACTAACCCTTTTAAATTTATTTATGAATATACTCTTGCTCTAATGCTTCACCAAATGGAGGAATAACAACTGGCCAAAGAAGAGGAGCTGGGCTTTTTGCAGCCACGTTTTACCTGCCCCAAGGAACAGATCCTGAATTCACAGCCTCAGTTCAAACCCACTCCCCGAGATGANNNCCATCTACGTCCTGAGGACCTCGCTGCCACCGTCCAAGCGTGCTTGGCCCCGGCAGATGAACCTCAGGATTAAAGGGTGGGCTCAGTTCCGCGCACACTGTGTCTCACCTAAAAAATCCAATGCGCAGGCTGGAAGGTGGAAAGACCTTCCCCGGTTCTTCGTTCGCGAAGAGACTGGCCATTTACAGTAAATTCTGTGGTACCCTATGCTAAATTATTTCAGTTAGGCTTAAGTGCTGTTACAACCTTTAAGCCTAAACCACTGGTCAAGCCCTGGGCTAAGTTTGGCAAAGAGGGGTCTGCTCTGAACCTCGTGGCTCAACAGGAGGGTCTCTCTTATCCCCTTTTATCCTGACTCTTTATACCCTTACCCTTTTCCATCCCCACCCTCCACAATGAAAATTTTAGGTTGATCTTAGATTTTCAGTTTTGATTGATTTAAACTTTAGTCTGACTTCTCTCTGTGTGTGTTTTAACCACCTAGGAAAAGTAACAGAGTGAACTTTGACAACGAACCTTTTGATGCTTTCACTTTACAACCTCCTTTTGCCTGTACCTTTGCTGGTGATTTTTTTGAGGGACCTAAAACTCTCTTTTGTGACGAAATTAGTGATGCACCTGTGGCAGTGCAGAGAAACAGAGACCCCCCCTGGAGTGTCACCTTATCAATGAAGCCTTTTAAATATAAAATACATCCTTGCTTTAAGAGCTCCACCTTCTACCTGTTGACTCCCTGTTACATCTCTGAGGGATCCTGCACTGCTCCATCCCAGAAATGTATTCTCACAGACAGAACAGAACAGAACGGATTCAAAGCCTCAATAAGCACCAATTTATATTAAAATTAGGGCCCTCCACACCCTCCAGACAGCAAAGCCATTAAAACACAAGACTCAATATCTGCTCTCTCCCCTTCACATCACCAGGCTGGTGAGTGTACCAGCTATTGTACACATAATTGTGAGGAGTGCTAAGTTTTGCCTATCATCTTAAAAATCAAGCAGTTAAAGGGTATTTCAGAAATACTTAATGGGATTTTCCCACCAGTAAACCTTGTGCTCGGTGGTACATTTTAATAACAGCAGAATCAAAATCTCATTTATGGACTAAGAAGGTTGTTCTGAGGGTAACATTCGGGGAGGCTTTGCCAGAGAAAACAGAAGACTTAATAAGAGCAGGGCTCAAGAGTATTAGTAAGAAAAGTTGTGAGCTGCCTACAGGCTTTTTCTCTTCTGGTATCAGA